CCCCAAAACCCCAAAACCCCAAAACCCCAAAACCCCATTTTAATGTTTCATATTGAATTTTGTAAAGACTGAGATGAACTATGAACATTCTAAGATTGCCAATCTACTTTGAATGATGGAACTATAGTGCTGCCTATTCCAAATCCTACACCATCTTTTTGGAATAACTCTGGATCAACTTCGTAATCAATAAGAGTAAGAATGACAATGATAGCTACTTTCATCTCAAGAACTGCAAAAGATTGGCCTGGACAGGCTCTGAACCCATGGGAGAAAGGTCTTGTGGAGAACCCTCTTCCAATTTTCCCTTCTTTCTCAGCTTGTTTATAGAACTCTGATTCTTGGTCATATCTTTCTGGCACGAAATTTGTTGGATCTTTCCAATATTCTTCGTTATAGTGCCCAGAAAATAAATCAACCTTGATAGGAAATCCTTTAGGAATAGGAACTCCTCATAATTTAATATTCTGCTTTGCAGAGTAAAAGAACGATTCTGCTCCTGGTCCATCAATTCTGAGAGATTCTTTGATGACACAAGAGAGGTAGTCCAACTCTTCAATCTTCTCTCTAGTCAAGCTTTCATTGGTAACAGTCTCTTTGCTATAAGAAAAGATTAGAATGATTTTATAACTCCTTTCAGGAATTTTTGCTGAATTTCGGCTGGAGTAAAATTAGAATAAAGCTATTCTCAACTATCTGGTAGAAGAATTGAGATCTTCGACCAAAATCAAAATCTTATTTAATACATACTTGATTCTTGCATCTTGGATCTCTTTTCTTAGCTTAGCAAATGTTTCGGGGTGTTTCTTCAAGAAGAAGAGAGTTGATACTATTCCATGTGAAGAAGTTTCAGCTCCTGCAAGAATGAAGGTATTTAAATCACTCATTTTCTCACTTTCTGTGGTCTGTTCATTTTTCAGGATCTGCATACAGATAGATGTTTCATCCTTGCAGTTTTTGTAGAGTTCTTTCATTCCTTCAAGGAATACTTGATAGTTCTCATGATCTCTCTTAAAGGGGTTGATTATATTAGCATCTGCTAAAGGCTTACAGGTTGCAGTCAAAGGATGGAAAATCTGCACAAAGTGACTTTTAAATGAATTGATTATAATATCTCTCAATGGAAGCATTGATGTAGTTCCATCTGGGTTTTGATATGGTCTCACTCTATTAGCAAGCTCAACCATATCATCTCCAAACAAGACACTGGTAAAGATATTAAAAGTGAGAACATTGGCAATATCAATGAAATCGTAGCTCTGTCCTTGTTTTAAAGGTTTAAGTACATCTGAAGTATGCCTCATCATAGCTGGGATATGTCTTGATGAACTATTAAGGCTCAAGAAGCTAGTAAGTATTTTCCTTCTCATAACAGTTCTCTTAGTACTCTTCTCAAATAAGAATGTACCTAAACCGACTTTGCCAAGTCCTCTTCCTGTGTTTACTCTATCAACTTTAGAAGGTACAAGTTTAGCAAATTCTTCAATAGCTTTATTAGATTGAAGAAGTATAAGAGGATTATATCCTTCAAACTTAATCCTAATATCCTTGCCTTTCATCTCTGAAGCTTTTTGCATCTTTTCATAGTAATGCACTCTTCCTTTCTTCATGTCTTCATTTATTCTTTTAAGATCTCCAAGTATAGGAATAAACGTAGGAGTAGTATACACATTGCTATATTTCTTATACTTCCTCCAGCACATATAAGGATACACCAACAAGGCATAAACAAGGTATAAGAAGTAACCTAAAGCCAAGAAACCTGCCCACTTGAGGAAACCAATTAAAATCTGATACATAATTATATTGAGTTAGCTTCAATTTTTTATGTAGTTATTGGGGTTTTGGGGTTTTGGGGTTTTGGGGTTTTGGGGTTTTGGGG